GTTCAGATGAGATCGGGCATTTCCAGGGTGGTATGGCCGTAAGCGAAAGAGGCTGTCAAGCGTTGGCTATTTAAATCAGCTGCCAAATGAAGCACTTCGAAAAGCTTACAGCACCTGGTATTCCCAGGCGGTCTCCCATCCAAGTACTAACCAGGCCCGACCCTGCTTTCCTTCCGAGTTCAGATGAGATCGGGCATTTCCAGGGTGGTATGGCCGTAAGCGAAAGAGGCTGTCAAGCGTTGGCTATTTAAATCAGCTGCCAAATGAAGCACTTCGAAAAGCTTACAGCACCTGGTATTCCCAGGCGGTCTCCCATCCAAGTACTAACCAGGCCCGACCCTGCTTTACTTCCGAGTTCAGATGAGATCGGGCATTTCCAGGGTGGTATGGCCGTAAGGGAAAGAGGCTGTCAGGCGTTGGCTATTTAAATCAGCTGCCAAATGAAGCACTTCGAAAAGCTTACAGCACCTGGTATTCCCAGGCGGTCTCCCATCCAAGTACTAACCAGGCCCGACCCTGCTTTACTTCCGAGTTCAGATGAGATCGGGCATTTCCAGGGTGGTATGGCCGTAAGCGAAAGAGGCTGTCAAGCGTTGGCTATTTAAATCAGCTGCCAAATGAAGCACTTCGAAAAGCTTACAGCACCTGGTATTCCCAGGCGGTCTCCCATCCAAGTACTAACCAGGCCCGACCCTGCTTTACTTCCGAGTTCAGATGAGATCGGGCATTTCCAGGGTGGTATGGCCGTAAGCGAAAGAGGCTGTCAAGCGTTGGCTATTTAAATCAGCTGCCAAATGAAGCACTTCGAAAAGCTTACAGCACCTGGTATTCCCAGGCGGTCTCCCATCCAAGTACTAACCAGGCCCGACCCTGCTTTACTTCCGAGTTCAGATGAGATCGGGCATTTCCAGGGTGGTATGGCCGTAAGCGAAAGAGGCTGTCAAGCGTTGGCTATTTAAATCAGCTGCCAAATGAAGCACTTCGAAAAGCTTACAGCACCTGGTATTCCCAGGCGGTCTCCCATCCAAGTACTAACCAGGCCCGACCCTGCTTTACTTCCGAGTTCAGATGAGATCGGGCATTTCCAGGGTGGTATGGCCGTAAGGGAAAGAGGCTGTCAAGCGTTGGCTATTTAAATCAGCTGCCAAATGAAGCACTTCGAAAAGCTTACAGCACCTGGTATTCCCAGGCGGTCTCCCATCCAAGTACTAACCAGGCCCGACCCTGCTTTACTTCCGAGTTCAGATGAGATCGGGCATTTCTTTTTTTTTTTTTTTTTTTTTTTTTTATTCAAAAATAATCACATTACATTAACATTTAAATACTTCAAAAAATTTCACAAAACAAATACATTAAAATAAACATTCTTCATAAAATAACATCCTCTTTGGGCATTTTCCACTTTAAACCACTTAAAACATTATACACTTCATCATTAAACACATCATAAAAGCTTGGTAACATGTCTTCTCCTTTAAAATACCAGTACAGTCTTTCTATGTATCTTTCCATTTTTCGTTTTAGTACATTCCACACATTTAAAACAACTTTTGCCTGCTTTGCTACATTTCTTCTTTCCCACACACATTTTTTAATCATCATTATGAGAAGATTTACAAACTTTTTGTTTTTGTTTTCCATATTCCATCCGAACATCACAAGAGTATTCCATTCCAATTGTTCTTCATCCCAATCTTTCAATAAATCTTTTAGCATTTTTTGGCATTTCATGTAAAAACATTCTAATTCTTTACAGTATAAAAACAGGTGTAAAATTCCGTCATCTTCTTGAAAACAAACCTTACATGTTGCATTTGGTTCTCTCTGTATCTTTGTTAAAATGCACTCAGTAAAAATTGCCTTGTGTCTTATAAAATATTCAAAACATTCCAATCTTGTTTCTATTATTTTCCCTCTCATGTTTTTCCATATATTTTCCTTTTTCACACTATTCAATCTTTGTACCCAAAAGTTATTTGCTATAGGTTCTTGAAATACACTATCTCTAAAATACACATAAAAGTCTTTCAGTAAACAATCTTTAAAATCACAAAGCTTTCCTTTTAAATAGACATGTATGACTTTTCCATTCCCACATTCTTCCATATTTTCTATTCTTGTAATCCATTCTTTTGGTATGGCACCTTTGACCGTTTCAAGTTTATTTTCTATTTCCTTTACACTGTATTCCTCTTTAGCTTCTTCCATTAAGTCTACTATATATTGCTTAGTTAAAAATCCCTTTTTGAATTCATAAAGAACATCCCTTATTCTTAAAATCCCCACATCCATCCATTTTTTAAAAAATAGTTCCTTCCCTTCTTTTAAAATACTTTTATTTAAAAACAAAGGTTGATTTAACAAGTTTTCTCTACCCTTTACTTGGTAAAATACACCGTCTAAAAATTTCCCCCATGCACTTAAAATTTCTTGATAAAACCCTGGTAACTTTTCCGTCATCCAGTTTTTTGTTTTTAACCAAAGAATGTCTTCTCCTAAGTTAAAATTGCCAACTTTGTTTAAAAAATATTTCATAACCTTTTTCCATTCTGTTGAGTTCTCCTCTTGTAAAAGCTTTTTAACTATTTTGACTCTAAGACAATTCTTCCTTTGTTTAATATCAATCAATCCTATCCCTCCTTCTTCTGTTGCTCCTATTATTGTATTGTACGCAATTCTTGGGGGTTTCCCCTCCCATAAAAAATCTTGAACACACTTTTTTAATCTCTCTTCTATCCAACATGGCATTTCTGTTACATATAATTTATACCATAGCTTTGATGTCATTAAAACATTTAATATTAAGGCTTTCCCCTTTAAACAAAGTTCTCTCATCCTCCAAAAATTTAATCTTGATTCTATTCCTCTTATTAGATCATCCCACATCTTTTCTGTTGCTTTTCTTTCATTTTTACCAATTAAAATTCCTAAAATTTTCAGCTCTTCTACTTCTCTAAATTGAAAACAATCTGTTAAAATATCTGCTTTACCAAACCTCATATATTGTGTTTTATTTTCATTTATTTTGCTTCCTGTTCCCTTACAAAACTCCTGTACTTTTTTCATGGCTTCTTTTACACTCTTTTTCTCCTTCACTATTATTGTTGTATCATCAGCATACTGGTATATTTTTCCTTCATCATCCTCTTCTTCTATTTTTATTCCTTTAATTTTAGTTTCTTGTTTTATTGCTAACCCTAAAGGTTCTGCGACTAGGGAATATAATAGCGCTGAAAGAGGACATCCTTGTCTAATTGATCTTGTAATTTTAAAACAATCTGTTAAAAAACCATTACATTTTACTTTTGTTAAAGCCCCTTCATATAAAATTTTAATCCAATTAATAAAATTCTCTCCAAATCCAAATGTTTTGAGTACATCAAATAAGTAAGTATGTTCGACTCTGTCAAAAGCCTTTTCAAAATCTACACTAATTAAAAAACCATTCATCTTCTTTTCTTGTATATAGTCTATTGTGCTTTTAATGCTCATTGTTACATCTGCAATATCTCTCCCTTTTATTGCATATGCTTGATTTGATTTAATTAATTTAGGCATTACTTCCTTTAATCTATTCGCTAAAACTTTTGCTAAAATCTTTAAATCTGTATTTAACATTGTTATTGGTCTATAATTTTGTAATTCAGTTTTTGCTCCTTTTCTTTTATATATTAACTTCATTAATCCCATCCCCATTCTTTCATTCATCTCTTTACATTTAAACATTTCTTTAAAAACTTCTTTAAGTATTACTTTTAAAATATCTTTAAAAACAATATAAAATTCATTTCCTATTCCATCTATACCTGGACTTTTCTTTTTATTTAGTTGATTTATTGCAATTTCAATCTCTTCTTCATCTATATCTCTGTCACATTCTTTGTTGTCATCTTTTTGTAATTTTACTTTTATATAATTTAGAATCTTCCTTTCTTTTTCTTCATCAATACCTTTTGCTTCAAAAAGATCTTCATAAAAATGTTTGATTTCTTCTAGTATTTCTATGTTTCCTTTCGCAATTTTTCCATTTCTCCCTTTAATTTCCTTTAGTATTCCTGCTTTACCTCTTTGCTTCTCTAAATCAAAAAAGAATTTCGTGCATTTTTCCCCTTCTACTGTGTATTTAGATCTGCTCCTCAACATTGCCCCCTTATATTTGTCTTCTTCTAAATCTCGTAATTTTTGCTCTATTTCTTTGATTTTTTCAATATCTTTATTTTCTTTGTTTAATTCTTTTTCTAAGGATCTTTTAACTTCTTTTTCTGTATACTTTTTACATCTTTGTAGTACTGCGCAATATTTGATTGTGTATTTTCTTATTTGGTATTTTGTGTTTTCCCACCATATCCTTTTATCTTCATCATACATTCTATTTTCTTTTTCTTTCTCTATTATTTCTTTGACTTTTTGAACATAATCTTCATTTTTTAAAATGGTTGTGTTTAAAATCCAAGTTCCTGGTCCTTTTTGTATGTTATCTACATTCACTTTAAAATGCAAGAGCTTATGATCACTAAAAATGTTTTCTTCATACTGTATGTTTTCTATAAAATTCTCAATATTCCTAGTACATAATATAAAATCTATTCTTGTTTGACATATAAAATCTCCAACTATTTGTCTCCTTGAAAACTCTCTTTTTTCTTTGTTATTTTCCCTCCATATGTCTATTAAATTATTTTCTTTTATTAGCTCCTTTAGTTCTTTCCTTGCGGTGTCAGATTTAAAAACCATTCCATCTGCCATGTCTTGTTTATTAAAAACTGTATTAAAATCTCCTACCATTATTATTTTTTTATATCTCTCAATTACCTTATTTAAAATCTTAAAAAACTCTTTTTTATCTTTCTCTTCCGTTGGTGCATGTATATTGGCTATAATCATTTCTTGTCCTTCATAGTTTACTTCTATCACTAAACACTTTCCATTGTTGTCTTTATACACGATTTTTTTAATATTTAAAACATCTTTTTTTATTAAAAATGCCACCCCTCTTCCAGATTTGCCATCACCATTGTTATATAAGATATCCCCCTCCCACTTCTTTTTAAAATCTTCCATTACATAATCTTTCCAGTTTGTTTCTTGTAATACTATCATGTCCTTATTTTTACATTTTTCTCTTATTTTCTCAAATTTCCCTTTTTCCATCATACCTCTTGCATTAAAAGATACACATTTTAAAACCATTAAAAGAAATAAAAATAAAATTAAAAACCTAAAAATCATTATTACTCATCATCTCCCTCCATTTCCTTTAACACTTCATATCTGTTCATGTTTTTCATTCTTGTAGTCAATTTTCTCTTTGTACTTTCTAGATTAGGTTTAATCTTTAATGTCCTTCTTCGAATTGTTCTTCTCTCCTCTCTGTCCATTTTAATTTCTTCTTCTCTTCCAATTTCATTACTTTTTTCTTCATTTCTTTGTCCAGTCTTCACCTCATTGTCTCCACACATCTGAGAATTGTCCATTGTTTCCATTTCTATGTTTTTATTATCCTCTTCTTCTCTTTTTTCAGTTTCTTTGAAAAGCGTTTGCCTCTCCCTTTCTTCCAATATCAGTCTTTCATTTGCTTCATTTTGCATTTTTCCTCTCTCTTTTTCATGTCTTTCTTCACAAAAAATGTCATCTTCATTATTCCTCTTATGCATTTTCTTATCCTCTTGAATTTCTTTTCCATTTTGTATCTCTTTCAGTAAGTCTTTTGGTTGTAAAACTGCTTGTTCTTCTCCTTCATTTTGTTCTACATTTTTTACTTTATGCATTTGCCTGCTTATCTGGTTTCTCTCTTCTCCTTCCTCTGCCTCCATCCAACATTCACATTTTGCTAAAATTTGGAGGCATTCCGGGCATTTGATTGCATCACAGTTTCTTGCAAAATGTCCTCTTTCTTCGCACTTAAAGCACCTAAAGTCTGGGCAGTCCTTCATCACATCCTCCGGGCTCATACACAGCCTACAAGTCTTAACTTGGTGGCTGTGCATCACCCGGAAATATTGTGGTCCTTCTGCCATTTCAAACTTCGTGCTAAATGGAAGCGAAGCCACCTCCTTGGGAAACCGTGTCTTAATGAACCTTGTCCCATCCTCAATCTCAGTGCCCGGATATGTCCTCCTTTTAATTTTTGATAAGGGGCTAACACCCCATCCATCCAATTTTTCTATTATTAAACTATCCTCCAGATAAACAGGCAAGTGCATAAAGGAGACAACATAGTCTCTGTTTTGTAACATTTTAACTTCACAGTTCTCTTCATTTATTGTTAGTCCATCAATCAGTTTGTCACAAGTTTCTTCCTCTTCTAAAGTTATTTCATATTCTTTGTCCTTTCTCGGTCTTATTGCCAAAATTTTCCCATGTCCACATTTTTCTGTTAACGCCTTAATAATGTCTGAAACTCTCACCTCTTTTACTTTGTCCACGTTTAGTATTACAGATAGAGGTAAAGTTAGTTTTATATTCGCACATTCGTTCATTTAGAAGTCTCTATATTGTTTACCATGTTACTTTGAATATTCAATAGGAATTAGCATGCAAGTGTGACTTGAAAACAACATTAACACTGTTTATTTGACTGTGAACAATGTTGTACTTTGATAGTCATTGAGTGCTAATATGATTTCGCTATTTAGAGTTTGCAAATAATACTTTAAAGAAATTATATTATTAAGGGGAAAGTCCGAATGTGTGAATATAAAACCAACTTTATCTCTATGTATTACAGTTGCTTCCTTCAAGTACTTCTTTCCTCTCCTTTCATGTTGTCTTTCCTGTTGCTGATTTTCTTGTCGTTCCATGTTAGCCATGTTTGTTTCTCCTCCTCGTGCTGTGTTGTTTCCCATCTGTTTTCCCTCTCGTACTCCCGTGTCGTCTCCTCTTTGCTTTTCACCATCCATCTCTGTGTTATTTTCTCCTCTTGTTTTCCCCGAAAGTCCAGTGAATTTGTCCTTTGTGCTTTCCATTGTCCCAAAAAAATCCAAGCAAAAAAGGTGAATAACCACCTTCCAGCTAGCACATGTGCTGCTGTCAGGTGGTTTAAACTCCAAAAATAAAAATAATAACTCCTTAAACTATATTAAACACCCAAAAAACTAAATAAAACAACAAAAGAAAGGGAGAGCCTTTCTCTCCCGTCTGCAGCCTTTCACTTCCTGTTTGCACACTAACTCCCTCTAGCGTACCCAGGGTGGTATGGCCGTAAGCGAAAGAGGCTGTCAAGAGTTGGCTATTTAAATCAGGCGCAGCACCAGGGAGCGAGCGCAGCTCAGCTGGCATCGACACAGCACCGACAGAAACAATGCCCTTGAAGGCGAGAAAAAAAAAATGGCAGCGAAGCTGTGACACGGGGAAGTCTATCAGCGCCAAATGAAGGACTTGGAAAAGCTAACAGCACCTGGTATTCCCAGGCGGTCTCCCATCCAAGTACTAACCAGGCCCGACCCTGCTTTACTTCCGAGTTCAGATGAGATCGGGCATTTCCAGGGTGGTGTGGCCGTAAGCGAAAGAGGCTGTCAAGAGTTGGCTATTTAAATCAGGCGCAGCACCAGGAAGCGAGCGCAGCTCAGCTAGCATCGACACAGCACCGACAGAAACAATGCCCTTGAAGGCGAGAAAAAAAAAATGGCAGCGAAGCTGTGACACGGGGAAGTCTATCAGCTGGCAAATGAAGGACTTTCGAAAAGCTTACAGCACCTGGTATTCCCAGGCGGTCTCCCATCCAAGTACTAACCAGGCCCGACCCTGCTTTACTTCCGAGTTCAGATGAGATCGGGCATTTCCAGGGTGGTATGGCCGTAAGCGAAAGAGGCCGTCCAGAGTTGGCTATTTAAAACAGGCGCAGCACCAGGGAACGAGCGCAGCTCAGCTGGCATAGACACAGCACCGACAGAAACAATGCCCTTGAAGGCGAGAAAAAAAAATGGCAGCGAAGCTGTGACACGGGGAAGTCTATCAGCTGCCAAATGAAGGACTTGGAAAAGCTCACAGCACCTGGTATTCCCAGGCGGTCTCCCATCCAAGTACTAACCAGGCCCGACCCTGCTTTACTTCCGAGTTCAGATGAGATCGGGCATTTCTTTTTTTTTTTTTTCTTTATTTTATATCAAAAATTAAAAACAGTTACATTCAGGTAATAATACATTTACATTATATAAAGCCATTTGAACATATGTGTTCCCGTTTAAAAAGTCTTTTTCAAATACATCAATCTTGTCATTCATGTTACAATAATAGAAAAGAGTATTAAGCAGTTCAGACATTTTTCTTTGAAACAATTTACATACAGACAATTTGCCATTCTTTTGTTTAACAATATTCCTTCTATTCCATATCACATTTCTTGCAACTGTTAAAATAAAGTTTATGAACCTTGTGTTTTTACCTTCTGTTTTACAATCAAATAAAAATAATGTTTCCCATTCCTCATCAACAACCTCATTTTCAATCCCCATTTCATTTAGCATTTCTTTAATTTTTCCAATAAAACATTTTAACTCTTTGCATTTAAAAAACAAATGTAGTATACCTTCATCTTCTTCATTACAAACTTTACATCTTGCATCATTTGCCAAACCTATTTTACACAATCTCATTTCACTTAATAAACAGTTTTGTCTTAAAATGTAATCAAAATTCTCTAAAACGGGACTTTTCCACCAAGCTCTTACATTTTGCCATATTTCCTGCTTTTCAATATTGGGATATAATCTTTTCCAGTACTCTTCTGCTTTGGGTGTAACAAAAACATCTTTACGTAAACAAGAATAGAACATTTTCAGTTTACCATCTTTAAAAGCATATTGATTTTCTTTAAAGTTTATCACCCTTCCTTCATCGCTGTGCATTTCAAATTTATTTTCTATAATTTCTTTACATTCTTTTGGTATATTTTTTTTCAAGTTGTTAAGCTGCTTTTCAATTACTCTTTTAGTTTCGTTTTCATAGTTTTCTATTATTGCATCTTTTATTACGTGCGCCTGTACATAACCAGGTATCACTTCATATAAAATATCTTTAATTTGCTTTATTCCTGCATTAAACCATTTCTTATAAAAAATAGTATTATTCCCTTCTTTAATGTATTCATTTAAAAACAGCGGTTGCTTTAAAATCTCTTCTTTACTAAATGAACAATCAATATGCTTTCTAAAATCTCCCCATGCTTTAATAACCTCTTTATAGAATTCTGGAACTTTATTCATCATATTCTCTTTGGGCTTCATCCATAATATATATTCTTGTATTTCCCCACATTTATTTAAAAAATATCTCATCACATCTTTCCATACATGTTTTTCTTCTTTCCAATATTTATTTACAGTTTTAATTCTTATGCTTTTCATTCTGATTAGTGGATCAATTAAACCTAAGCCTCCTTCTTCAACTTTACCAATTATGGTGTCATACGCTATTTTGGAAGGTTTTCCATCCCATAAGAAATCTAAAACAATAGCTTTTATCTTTTTATACACACTCATTGGCAAACTCACTGTACCTAAAACATACCACATTTTTGATAAAAATAAGGAATTTAAAACTAAAACTTTCCCCTTTAAAAACAAACCTCTTAATTTCCAGAAATGTAATCTTTTCTCCATTCCCTTTAAAACTTCCTCCCACATTAAATTCCTTGTTTCATTTTCATTTTCACCAACCCTTATACCTAAAATTTTCATATCAACTTTCTCCTCTTTAAATTTTATTTTTTCTGGTAAAACATTTATTTTTCCCATTCTCATGTATTTAGTTTTTTCCTTATTAATTTTTGCTCCTGTTCCTTTACAATATCTGTTTAAAATTTCCTCTGCTTTTTCAACACTTTTGATATCTTTTACTATTAAAGTGGTATCATCAGCATACTGAAATATTTTGTGTTCTAACTCTGTTCCTTTTATACATAATCCTCGTATTTGCGTTTCATTATCAATTGCTAATCCCAATGTTTCAGATACAAGTGTGTATAATAGTGCTGACATTGGACATCCTTGTCTTATTGATCTTGTTATTTTAAAATCTTTAGTTAAATAACCATTTACTTTTATACAGCTTGTTATATCTGCATATAAACATTTTATCCATTGTAAGTATCTTTCTCCAAAACCAAATCTCTCCATTACATCCATCATATATTTGTGTTCCACTCTATCAAAAGCTTTTTCTAAATCGACACTGATTATATATCCTGTTTCTTTTTCCTCTCTCATATACCATATTATATCTCTTATATTGTTTATGAGATCAGTTATGTCTCTTTTTAGAACTGCATATGCTTGATTTGTTTTGATTATGTTAGGTACAACTACTTTCAATCTATTAGCTAAAACCTTTGCTAAAATTTTATAGTCTGTGTTCAGCATGCTTAAGGGTCGATAATTTTTTAAGTCTCCTTTGTCTCCATTTCTTTTATAAATCATTTTCACCATTCCTTTCTTCATACTATTAGTTAACTCCCCTTTTTCATAAATATCACTGTATATTTCATTTAAAATAGGAATTAAAACATTTTTAAAAACTTTATAAAACTCAACTGGTAGTCCATCTATTCCTGGACTTTTCCCATTTCTCGACTGATCAATAGCTGTTTCTATTTCTAAATCTGTTATCTCACTCTCACACATTTCCTTGTCCTCTTTATTTAATTTTGCTGTTATTTTTTCTAATAAAAAATGTTCATCATTTAAATTAACTCCATTTTCTGTAAATAATTCCTTATAAAATCGTCTAGTTTCATTTAAAATTCCCTCTTTGTCTTCTACAGTTTTCTCATCTTGTGTTTTTATACATTTTATTATAGCTGCTCTCTGTCTTGTTTTTTCTAATTCATAAAAGTATTTTGTACTTCTTTCTCCTTCTACAATGTCTTTAGCTCTGCTTCTAATAATTACTCCTTTACACTTTTCTTCTTCAATTTTCTTCAGCTTTTCCTGTTATTCAATTATTTTGTCAACATTTATCCCATTTACTTTACTCATTTCTTCATTCCATTCTTTTCTAATTTTATTTTCCTTGAATTTTTTTGCCTTTTGTATTTTTTCTGATATATTTATTAAGTATTCTTTTATTCTATTTTTCAGATTATCCCACCATAAACCTGTTTCTGTTTCAAACATTTCATCATTCACACTATTAATTATTATATTTTCTATATCCATTTTATAACTTTCTATTTTTAACAGCTCAGTGTTGAGCATCCACACTCCTGGTCCTTTTTCAATCTCATTAAAATTCATTGTTATCCATAAAAAATCATGATCACTTTCACTATAGGTTTTATATAAAATTGTGTTAACATATTGTACTTCTTTTTTCTTACATAAAAACAAGTCAATTCTACTTTGCTTTAAAATCCTATTTGCAATTTCTCTTCTTGAATACTCTCTTTTCATACCATTTCGCTCTCTCCATACGTCTACCAAATCACATTTTCTCATTAAATTTTGTAGTTCATTCCTCCCTCTGTCTGTTCTAAAATTCATTGAGTCATCTATATCTATTCTTTGCATGGCAATATTAAAATCTCCTAAAATAAATATGTTTTCATTCTTTTCTATTAGCTTATCTATTTCCTTATAAAAGTTATATTTGTCCTTTTCCTCATTTGGTGCATGTATGTTGCATACTCTAAAACTTTTCCCACCATACAGAACTTTTACAATTATTATTCTTCCATTAGTGTCTTTATAGTCTAATTCTACTTTCTCAAAAATCCCTCTTTTTATTAAAATTGCTACTCCTCTATTCTTTTCTATATTTCCATTACTAAATATTTCACCATTCCATAATTTTCTAATTTCATTTTTAATCTCATTTTCCCACTTTGTCTCTTGTAAACATAATATATCACACTTTTTCGTCAAACACGTTAATCTTTCAAACTTTTCACATTTGGACAATCCTCTTACATTCAATGATACCACACATACATTACTCATTAGTATAATTATTGGATAAACCAATAACCACCATTCATTCTGAGTCACTGTCACTTAAACAAATGTTTCTTGCATCTCCTTTTTCAAATTTTTTCCTTTCCATTCTTTCTTTAATCTCTTCTCTTCTTATTTTCTGCCGTTGTAGAACCATTTCAATGTTTAGGCCACTTTTAGATCTTGATTTTAAATCTTTTATCTTTTTTCCTTTTTCTTTTTTTTCCAGTCCATAATTCCCCCTTTCAAAATCCATTGCTCTTACCTCATTTATTGCTCTTATTT